AAGGAAAGAATCTGAAAGATGAGCAAATCTGGGGCTGGAGATGTGGCTCAAGCGGTAGCGCACTCGCCTGGCATGCGTGCGGCTGGGGTTCGAACCTCAGCACCACATACCAACAAAGATGTTGTGTCCGCCGAGAACTAAAATAAATAAATATTAAAAATTCAAAAAAAAAAAAGAAAGATGAGCAAATCTCCCCCACCTACACACTTCCTACCAAGGTGTTCAGCCCTCTGGACCCTGTCTAACTCAATACTTTTGGTTTCTTCCTCTCAAAGGAACTTCAATCCATTTTCTTTCATTTTACTTACTTCTGCTCATTGAGATAAGAAACAAGGAGAACCTCACCTCCAAAATCCAGAAACACCACCATGCAAACCCACCTGTTCCTCACAGTGTTCTCAGGGAATCTGGCACTTGGGACAGGAGGACAGCCCCAGGGGTTTATTGTACAAGAGAAACCATGACAGGGGCCTTGGCTGGTAGCAGCCCACACTCCAACTTCCCCACTGTGTGGATGGAGGTCAGGATTCGGGCTGTCTGGAAAAGCAGCACAGCCTTGTTGGCAAAAACACCACAGGCTCACTCTGTCCCAGCCAGGGAAGAAAGAGTCTGAAATCCATGTCCCAGTGCAGTGGACCCAGAACCCACTCACCAGTGACCCACTGGAACAAAGCCCAGGAGATCATCAGTGCAGATGCAATCACCCCGACACAAGGAGAACCTGGACTCAGTCCTCTTCTACTAAGGAAATCTCTAGTTAAACCCAGGACTTGTGACACTTGCTGCCCAGTGACTCTGAAAGAAAATAGCTGCAGGGGAAATAAATGCTCTCTCATCAGTGAGAAAGAACTAACATAGAATGCTCCCCCCTTGTCCATTCTGCCAAGTGGCCACAAGGAGTTCTTCCCTGAGGAAGTGATGGGATGAATCTGAGTGTCACACACATGAAGATGACCAAGACAGAATGTCCACGACTTTGCAGACCTTGCTCCAAGGAATTTCACACCCACTGGCTCAGATGGACATATCCCTTCTCCTCTTGCCTTATCAAGGCTGCTGGATCTACAGCTGACACACAGCTTCCTTACCTACTATCTTCTGCCTTATTGCATTCACTAGGCCAGGAAAAGCTGCCATTGAACACTGTCCCTGACACTCCCCTGTTTCTCCAGGTAACAGCAGACACAGAAGCTCTGCAGCTGGCTCAACTGCCTACGGAGGCTGTAAGAAAATCCATTGATGGATCCTTGTCAGGTGTCACATGTCACCCTCTCTCCTTAGCTCAGAGGGAGCTAGCCAGTTGGCATTCCCTACCTAGAGGCTGACCTGGAGACAATCTCTTTAGCCTAGGATCAGTTTGTCCTAGGGTGGCAGCCCTGGACACCATGACCCCCATAAAGCCAGGCTGCCATAACAGGGCCTTCTGCCCAGGCCACAGAGAGCCTGGACTATTTCTCTACTGTATTTCCTCCAACTATAGAAGACATCTGATGTCCCTGGGCTCACTAGAAGGCCCCTCCCTCCCTCATTCTCCCCTCCCAGCACCCACCAGGGCTTTTGCATGCTGCTCCCTGAGGAGGGCCTTCCTGCAAGGCTGACATAAAAGCTCAGCTCTAACCTGCCCTTGACTCACCAGGACTCCTCAGCTCAGCTTCTCAAAATGAAGTTCCCTGCTCAGCTCCTGGGGCTGCTGCTGCTGCTCTGGATCCCTGGTGAGGACACAGGATTTTGGGAAGAATAAGGGGGAGGAAGGTGTGCCCTGGGTCCCCATTCTGCCATGTGTGCTCTGTCCACATGAAAGAGGAACAAGTCTTGCACTAGTTAGGTCTGTGTGAGAGAAGAATATTCCAGAATGAGCAAGGACGTGCCTCTGATGAAGACTGTCACATTAAAAGAGGGGGATTCTGTAGGCGAATTCTCCAGAGTCACTTATGGCTTAGAAAACTTGATTCCTTTCTTAAAAACTGATATTCAGGCCACATAAATCAAAATCATAAATACTACTTCTATGGAAATATACAAAGAAATACAAATATGTCTCATAATACTTGCCAATAACTATACTTTTCTCATTTTCCAGGAATCCTA